TGTGTGTGTGTGTGTGTGTGTGTGTGTGTGTGTGTGTGTGTGTGTGTAAACCATAGACTGTCTATGGTACAAACAATGAAAAAGACGCTGCTGTATTTATGCCTAGATGGCGTTATTTTGAGTGTTGATGGAGCTGCTACAATGTTAGCTTAGCTTAGCACTGATCAATCCGAGCTCCATTGAGAAAACAAGTATTTTAAAAGTTATTTTCTTGTTGTCTTGTGGAGAGAATTAACAAAACATGAATTCAGACTTTTCATTACGTAGTTATTCCGGGGTCCCTTTTTATCCGTTTATTGCTGTTAAATCAGTTTGTTTTGTGTTGATACAGCTGTAGTAAACTAGACACGGTGAATACAGCTCGATGAGATCCACGGAGCTCCTCCGGACTGTTATGAACCAGACAAGACGGCGTTTAGTTTCCTGATATCTAGACTTCAACAACAAGTACTAAGTAGAAATATAGGTTATTTCTTCTATGTTGATGGCGGAAAGAAATGGATGGGTTCAAGCCACGCCCCCTCTCTGGCGCATTTGGGTGAATGACGCGAATATCCACAAATGGTCCCCCGCGAGTGATGTGAACACACGTTCAGATAAAGTTTTCAGAAGTGTCTGTTTTAGTGACCTAAGACTGTGTTCGCGTGGATGAGAGGCCATAACATAGAGAAAATATCAGTTTAAATACACATCTGTATACGTGCAGACAGTCATTCTGAGTCATAAGTTATATCTCTGGCTTCACAATATATTTCTTTTCTTTTCTTAACGAGCTTTAGATGTCAAGAGAATAATCCATTTCTTTAAATGAATACTGTCCCTCTGACTCCGCAGCCCCTCCAGATCAAGTCGGTGGTGGCCCCAGACCACGTCAAAGGTTACATCTACGTGGAGTCGTACAAGCAGACTCACGTGAAGTCGGCCATCGAGGGCATCGGCAACCTGAGGATGGGCCTCTGGAACCAGCAGATGGTGCCCATCAAGGAGATGACGGACGTCCTAAAGGTGGTCAAGGAGGTGACCAACCTGAAGCCCAAGTCCTGGGTCCGGCTGAAGAGAGGCCTGTACAAGGACGACATCGCTCAGGTACCCACGCAGAGCTACACCTGGGCTTCTAGAGGGTTCATGTGTGAGGTTGACTAAATATGTTTAGATAATCGTTTTAACAATATAGTTTAACCCTCTGAACCTCAAAGCACTTTCTGGGATTCTTTTAGTTCCCGTCATGTTTCTCTCTGAGGTCTCGTTTTTGTCTTCAAAATAAAAGTCCTGCTCCTCTATGAAACAGAACCATCATGACTAGAAGTAGAACTAGAACATGTCTGTAGTGCAGAACAAAACAGTTACAGTGACATCAATCATTTGAAAAAATAATTACATTTCTTTGATGTGTTGGTTGATAGTGAAAGTAATGAGCTCCGTGTTGATGTCTTCTTCGTGGGTTCTTCCAGGTGGACTACGTGGAGCCGAGTCAGAACACCATCTCTCTGAAGATGATCCCTCGTATAGACCTGGACCGCATCAAGGCCAAGATGAGTCTGGTAGGAACCAGCACACGCCAAGAAACATGCCAGCACACGCCAAGAAACATGCCAGCACACACCAAGAATCACGCCAGCACACGCCAAGAAACACGCCAGCACACGCCAAGAAACACGCCAGCACACGCCAAGAAACACTGTTCTTCCACTTGATTCTCTGTACTGATATTTAACCTCTGTCTATCTGTCTGTCTCTCTCTCTGTCTATCTGTCTGTCCTGTAGAAAGACTGGTTTGCTAAGAGGAAGAAGTTTAAGCGACCGGCTCAGAGGCTGTTTGATGCAGAGAAGATCAGGTAAACTCTCTAACATCACTGTGACGGTTTGATGTATTTCTTCTAACGGTATCAAATATTTTGGAAAAGTAATAAAAATCCCCAAAACACGGCTCTTTTGTTCTTTGTTCTTCAAGTCTTTTTAACATCTATCTTGTGCAGTGAACGGTGTGAGACTGTCTCTCTGACTGACAGGTGATGGTTTGATTGACAGGTCTCTGGGAGGAGAGGTCAGCCACGATGGAGACTTCATGATCTTTGAGGGGAACCGTTACAGCCGCAAAGGATTCCTGTTCAAGAGCTTCGCCATGTCGGCTGTGGTGAGTCTTTTTATTTCAGGAGCAACACTTTAAATGAACGGTTGTTTTCCTTATTTGGTTGTCGAGTTGAGCCCTGGTTTTCCACTTGCAGTCAGTTTTAAAGCCAAACTCATGTTTACAATGATTACTGAGGTAATAAATCAAGAGGGAAGTAGAGCCCCCTGGTGGACACTAGAGAGAATGCAGGTTAAAGACACTTTTTAGAACCGGAGGTTGACGCCTGGATAAAACATAGTTTGGAGACCTCATTGGTGGTTCCTCCAGGTGAAGGACCCAACAGCGTGTCGCCAGTCAGTCATGTAGTGTGAAAACCAAAACAACAGAGAGTCGCGTGAACTCTCCTTTAGCTGCTGTCTCTTCACTCTGGAAGCTAAAGGAGGTCTTTGTTTGGTTTCTCTGACAGATCACAGACGGAGTGAAGCCGACACTGTCGGAGCTCGAGAAGTTTGAGGACCAGCCGGAAGGAATCGACCTGGAGGTGGTCACCGAGTCAGGTGTGTGTGTGTGTGTGTGTGTGTGTGTGTGTG